TGTCTACTGTATATGCAAAGTGATTCTCACACAATATTAGTTTTATTATAAGACTGAGCAATAAGTAAATGTGTTGATGTTGGGAGCCAGGATGTTGCTGGAAGTCATTCTTAACACAATGAACAAGAAAAATGCCATTATGGAAAAGGAAGAAAGCAAGAAAGAACCCAGTGGGGATAGACTGGAATGGCAGAATGGGAGGTGTGAAGTAATAGTATATAAAGTATGTAAATATGCATGTATATTGGAGCAAGAAATGCAACCCACTCCAGTGTTCTTGCCTGGAAAATTTCATGGATAGAAGAGTCTGGCGGGCCACAGTCCATTAGGTCACAGAGTCGGACATGGCTATGCGTGTACACACAGATACACTCATGCCTGTATAAATAGGGCACATTAGGTTTTGCATATGTGCTTATATATAAATTCATACAGTTGTCTGCTGAAGGACATTCTGGTAGCAAAGAGCTCAGCTAGCACCCAAAGGAACCAGGGCTTCTTCGAGAAATGGCTGATTCCATGGCTGGAGCAGTGCAGATACAAAATGAGCCTGGAACATCTTGTTAGGCCAGAATGTAAGGAAATACTTAAAAAAAATGGGAGCAAGTCACAGGGGCAGAGAAGTCAGCTTGAATAGGCTCCCACTGGCAAGCACAACAATGAATTATTATGAATCCTTACTGCCAATAAGATAGACAGACAGACAGATATATAGACAGATAAAGAAGAAACAAGGATAAGCTCTTGCTAAGAGTACACGTCAGTGCCGACTGGTAAATATGGAGGAAATGCTAAGTTGGAAAATCATGATTTTGCAACTATCATGGTGAATATTAAATCAGACAAGAATGACGACAAATGGGTACTAAATCTCGGGGGAAATTTTGATGAGAAGCAGAATACTGTATGATTTTAAAATGCCTTTTTAGTAGTTGTGAAGGGGAAGAAAAGTACATATTGGAAAATCAGACAAAGTTTTGAAGAGGAACATCACAATTCCCACTGCTACTGAAGGACAGATGAACTCTACGTATCTGCAGATAAGGATGTCCTGAAAAGGATGTAGGAGGATCTATGGAGTATTTCTACCAAGAATGCACACTCTGAATCTAATAAGAAGGAAATATCAGAAAATCACTTATATATAAAATGAAACGGATGCATTCTTCTGTATCATTATGACTGGGAAAGAGAGAACATAAGAAAACAAAAGAAGTAATGTGTCAAAGATAGGTGACTCTAGATTAAAAGTTTAGGGTAATTTTTGTACTATTTTTATTCCTATAACTTTTCTATAGAATTGAAATTATTCCCAAGGGGGGGGGGGATTAAGTAATGCATGCACATAGGCTCTCTGAAGAAAAAAAATCCAACAACATAGAAGTATATAAAAGGAAAAGTAAAAAATGAAAATGAAATGTCAGTCCCCAAATCTCATCTATTTTCCACTGGAAGGTACGCTTTACAAAGTCAGGATATTTAAAATTTTTCTTTTCTGTTTTGTTGCTTTAATGTGTCCCAAGCCCCTAGGCTAATGCCAAGCAATAAAAAATTGCTGTATGAACTAGCTGTTATATCACTGATTTATTGGATGGATAAGGCTTAGACGATAAAGAATTCGCCTGCAATGTGGAAGACCTGGGTTTGATCCCTGGGTTGGAAAGATCCCCTGGAGGAGGGCATGGCAACCCACTCCAGTATACTTGCCTGGAGAATCCCACGAACAGAGGAACCTGGTGGGCTACAGTCCACAGGGTGGCAAAGGGTCAGACACCACTGAGCGATTAAGCACAGCATACAAGCACACTTCCTGATGTGCTCTCCTCCTTACTTAATCCAGACATACGTTTTCCCCAAGTCTTTTAAGTAAATGGTATCATAACACTAAGAAATTCAAGCTTATTTCATTATCGATCATCATTGATAATTATCATTATTCCCGAAACTTGCATCTCCATTATTACTGGGTTGTTTGTTCAGCCTGAATGAACGTCTTGGCTGATCTAGTATTTCCATTTCTCTATCCTTCACCTTCTAAACAGAATACTTAAATCCTGTTGACAATATTTTTCAAAGCCTCTTGAATAATTCACTCCACTCTATTTCACTTTTCTAAAATTTATTTGAAAAAATTTATTTAAAATTTATTCTCTTTTCTATTTATTTGGCTACTCCAGGTCTTTATTGTGGCATGTGGGGTCTAGTTCCCTGACCAGAGATTGAACATAGTCCCCCCTGTTTTGGGAGGGTGAAGTCTTAACTGCTAGAACATCAGAAGTCCCTACTTCTCCAATGTATGTATATCATCTAACTGATCTTTTTCCTGGTTCCCTTACTTCTCCAAGAAGTCTCCACTCCTCCAATGTATGTATACCATCTAACTGATCTTTTTCCTGGTTCCCTTACTTCTCCAAGAAGTCCCTACTTCTCCCGTGTATGTATACCATCTAACTGATCTTTTTCCTCATTCCCTTACTTCTCCAAGAAGTCTCTACTCCTCCAATGTATGTGTATCATCTAACTGATCTTTTTTCTGGTCCCCTTGCTGTTTATTATAATCTTCTTACAATTTATGCACAGTTATCTTCAAAATATAGCTTTCATTATGTTTTCCCTGTCTTAAAATTTTCCAAGTGACTTTTTGCAACCTGTAGAATAATCTGTAACTGATTTAACATGGATCACAATCTGCCTTCTAATTTATTGTTCTGCCTTTTGCATTCAAAGCTCAAAAATAATTCCTTCACTCATTCATTTCTTTCATACATACTAATATAGTACTCACTTCTTTCAGTTCCCTGAATATACTTTACTCTTTTGCTTCTGATTCTCTGTGACTGCAGCGCTCTCTCCAACTCTCAGCCCCTCTAGTCACCCTTCATTTAGCTAATTTTTATTCATGTTTCAAGTCTCAATTTACCTGTCACTTCCAACAGGTTTTTCTGGATCATTTGTTTCTGTGAGCCCACTATATATTCCCACATCATCCTATTCTTCCTCCTTCTCTGTTTCTGTAACTCCAGACTAATGTTTAGCTCCCTGACGGAATGCAAGCTTCATGAAAAGACGGGTATATGGAAGATAAATAGGAGAGAGAGCCTGTGATGAGGTGAGACTCAGAGCAAGAGATGGCTGTGGGTGACGACATCTCATGGAAACTCTCGCCTTCTTATATTCCTCCCACCTTCCCTGCTTCTGCCACTCTTGATCTCTCCTCGGCCACTTTTCCCACTACGACAAGAGGTCTCATTCTTCAACACACAACTGATTATTTGATTATATAAACTCTGGCTAAATACCATCAGGAACAATAGCAGGATAACAACAAACTCCTTAAAAAAAACAAAACAAAAAAAACTGGCACATTCCCAGGACTTGTCACAGTTGATCCCCACACGTAACACGTTGCATGTATAAATACACACGCACATACAACAGTCTGCATTCTAGTCATTTTCTGCTGCTCACTTTCTGAATAAACTATCATCTGTCACAACTACAAACTCTGGGTAGTTGTTGCTGACTGTAACAACCTTGTGCTTGTCTTGAGTCAAGCACACTTGAAATAGACAAGCTAGGCTTCAAGTTCAGTTCCTCTTTGGAAACAACCCTGACTTCCTAAGTCAACAACTTCCTTTTCTGTGTTCCCTTTCTACATTTGTGCAGAAGAGGTACCTCATATGCACTGAGCTTTTCAAAACACGACCAATACTACACTTCTAAAATATATTAAAAACTCTGCAGAAGATTAAAAGAAAATACTTATACAAAACGTGAGACTCTGCGCCCCAATCCTACTCAATGAGCACCTTCTGTAGGGCGAGCCCAAGAGGAGGGAAACGATGAGCTGTTTGCTCAGTCTCAGTTCCCACCAGTATTTCCAAATGATTCTTACTAGTCACTCCAGCACGTAAAGGGAAGCATCTGTACACACAGTGGCTCCTAAACGCGTGTGAGCGACTTCATCCGACCCTAGCAAACAGTCAGTAACTGGCGATGTTAGACTTAATGGGAGCTGTGCAGTACTTTATAGCCAGTTTAAGGGCTTTTCAGGGGGTATGTCTGATATAGCCAGTTTAAGGGCTTTTCAGGGGGTATACTTGAATGTTCTAAATAAACCTTAGCATGTTCTAAATAAATACATTTTAATGTATTTTATTCCTGTTGTATTTTCACTAAGATACAGAACTGCTAATGAGCAAATACAGCTGTCTGGGTCACACTTATACATCTAGACTCTACTACTACTATGGCACTTTATGAATATATTTTTATTAAGTGAATTAATTACCAGCACCTAAAAGCTCATATATATCTGAGTTAATAATCCAATTTTTGTTGAGTCTTTTTTTTTTAACCCCCAGATTGCTACACTCTTTCTATATATGTAGCTGACTCTGGATGCTGGTTTTCCTTCACCCAAATAATTCCTCCTCTATTCCAACATGTCCTTCCCTATTGAGTGGAAACTTTATTGCTTCCCTTCCTCATGCCATCTGCACTGAAACTAGTCTATATCCATGTAACTTTGTTTATCCAAACCTTTTAGGAAAGGTCTTAACTCAGTGAGAACAGATATGAGAACAGACATAATAGTCGTAGGATCAGACCGCTGACCATAAGCCCCACAATTCTGCCAAAAACACGGTTTACAAAGAGAGTAACAGAGACTAAAGCAAAAATATTTTCAGAATGCAAAAAGAAAATCACGTTTACTCATCTCCCTCTACACCTCCCAGAACCACCCCCACCCCCACCATGTGCACATACACACACAGAGGATTATCTTCATGCAGCAGCAAAAAGAAAGCTCCACAAGGAGATCTACAGTAACAATTTCTCTGGGGGATGGTATTCTGTTGTCTACAACTATTTTAGCAAAGCAAAGCGAATGCTAGCTACTGCGTGAGTAGCACAAAGAACTTCATTAAACAGAACTGAAAACTCATCATTTAGGATAAAAACTGTTAAAAGAAATTCAACTTTAAACTGCTCAACACTTACCTTCGAGGATGATTGGCATCAAACAATGTGTTGTCATCCTCCTCATCATCTTGCTCTAAAGGTGTCAGTTCCATGTTTTCTATGTTAGTGTCCAAAACCCCATATCTCCTAGTCTTTCGGTTTCTTCTTCTCATCCTATTAAATACAGCATATTAATGAATAAAAATTATTTAAGTGTGGTATGATTTTTATTTTAAACTTATTTGTAAATTAAAAATAAATTACTCCAGTTTCTGACACTGAAGGCATTCAGTATAAGAATGGCTACATCTTGGGAATGTAATCAATTAACCATCTAAGATTATTTATTTTTTAAACAAAACCTACTCCTGTATGTCTGGTGCCATCACCATCTGTTCTGCCTGACACACTTTCTTCCCTGTCAGCTGATGATGTTGACAGACAATCTCTTAAGTCTTTGTTCTCGTCCAATAGTTTTACTAAGGCCTTCTATTCCAGCCTTTCTCCCATCTCCTCTGGGCCTTCTTCTTACTTTCTGCCCCTCTAAGAAACTGTATGTATATATGCACTCAAATTCTAGGCTGGGGAGCTTACAATCTCAGCTGCATCGATCAGAATCACCTAGGGTGTTTTTAAAAGCTCCTCACTTGATCCATCAGTTCAGTCATTCAGTCGTGTCTGACTCTTTGCGACCCCATGGACTGCAGCAAGCTAGACCTCCCTGTCCATCATCAACTCCCAGAGTTTACTCAAACTTATGTCCATTGAGTCAGTGATGCCATCCAACCATTTCATCCTCTGTTGTCCCCTTTTCCTCCCGCCTTCAATCTTTCCCACCATCAGGGTCTTTTCAAGTGAGTCAGCTCTTTGCATCAGGTGGCCAAAGTATCCATATCCCCACACAATTGAATTACATATTTTCAGGGCAGAAACTAGGCATCAATAGTTTATTAATGTTCTACAAGTGATTCCAGAGTAATGAAAGCCAATATCCTAGATCACTGGTTCTTAAGCGTGGTCGGTCATCTAAGGGCTTATTAGAAAAACAAATCCTCATGCGTATCTAGACCTACTGAGTAAGAAACTCTGAATTTAGGGCCCAGAAACCCATGTTTTAACAAACGTCCCTTGTGAGTTTGATGCAAACTAAGTTTGAGAATGACTGCCCTAGAAGAAGGAAACTATTTTAGAGCACTAAACATTATTATCTTTATATATATGAAGAGGTCTCATGTTTTAGAACCCTACTCTCTCCTTTCTCAGGTAACTTTCCTTTTCCTTCAAATTATTTACCTCCATTTGCATTTATATGTGCTAATTATATACATTTGAGTGTTTATTTGCCTGTCTCTCACTAAGTTCCATGAGGGAGAAACCATGCCTATCTGGTTCACCACTGCATTATGACCTTGTAGCACAGTGTCTGATTAATTCTCCTTAAGTATCTGTTGAAGGTCTGAGTGACATCATATCCTAGCTCAGTGATCCAAATCTGACCTTGATATCAATGCCTAAGTCGCCTCCAATGTAACAACCTCAACTCCACACACAGAAAAATATGCTTCACACAAGTATCTGTATGAATTTAAAAACAAAACAAAAGATATCTCAGCAAGTGATAACAAATACGTTTACTTAAATTCTGATTCACTTTGTACGAGGTAATAAGCGGGATAAGAAATACTACAAATAGAGCAGCAAGTATATAGCAATACAAGCCTCTATATAAATGATAATGGGGACCCCTAGAAGATAAATGTCTTGCTTAAGACAAGACATATTTGAGTTTCACTAAGTATAGGGTGTTGCACTAGTTTCTGGATATAAAGTACTTGGCCTAGTGATCAAAATTTAGAAAATATAACTTAAACTTTAGGAAAAATTAAGATAATTTCCACTAATCACTGCTTATAAATCTATCTGCCCACCCAAAGATGGTAGAAGAGAAAACAGAGGTTTAAGTATGGTATTTAAGCTACAAATATGACCAATGTAAGAATTAATACTAATATAACTAGCAAGAATAAGGTAGATTCATCACCATCCTGGTGATCGTTTGAAGTCTGAGTCTTTTTTGTATAGTGAGAAATTACATGGGTTATGTTGTTAAATTTACAAGCATATATAGGTGTGAATGTATCTATGTCAAACACACACACACACACACCGCCCCCCCCCATGCAGACCAGAAATCTAAACTTCTGTAAAGGATTAGACAGTATTTTAGACACCGTAGATCACATATGGTCTCTGTTACACATTCATATTAGTTTCTTTAGTTGTTATTCATCTTAATTTCTTCTGTTGTTGATTTTTTACAACCCTTTAAAGTTGTAAGACATATCCTAGGCTCATGGGCTTTAAAAAAAAAAACAGGTCAGCAGACTGGGCTTAGCCTATGGGTCAGTTTACCAATCTCATCTCTAATTTAGACTCATGAACGTAATTCACAGAAAAACTAAGAGCAGAAATGACAAAAGTACTGACACTTTTGTAGGAATAGAAAAGTATAGGGGAGTTATAATTCACCATCAGTGACAGTGGTAAAGAATCCGCCTGCCAATGCAGGAGATACAAGAGACACAGATTTGATCCCTGAGTCTGGAAGATCCCCCAGAGTAGGAAATGGCAACCCACTCCAGTATTCTTGCCTGGATAACAGAGGAGCCTCATGGGCTACAGTCCGTGGGGTTGCAAAGAGTCAGACATGACTGAGTGACAGAGCACACTCATTGGTCCTTTGGAACCTTGTGATTTAATAACATTTGCATGCATTGCTTTGATTTTAAAAACTGAAAACTTAAGAATGAGTTAAGAAAGGTAGAAGAGAAAACAGAGGTTTAAGTATGGTATTTAAGCTACAAATATGACCAATGTAAGAATTAATACTAATATAACTAGCAAGAATAAGGTAGATTCATCACCATCCTGGTGATCGTTTGAAGTCTGAGTCTTTTTTGTATAGTGAGAAATTACATGGGTTATGTTGTTAAATTTACAAGCATATATAGGTGTGAATGTATCTATGTCAAACACACACACACACACACCGCCCCCCCCCATGCAGACCAGAAATCTAAACTTCTGTAAAGGATTAGACAGTATTTTAGACACCGTAGATCACATATGGTCTCTGTTACACATTCATATTAGTTTCTTTAGTTGTTATTCATCTTAATTTCTTCTGTTGTTGATTTTTTACAACCCTTTAAAGTTGTAAGACATATCCTAGGCTCATGGGCTTTAAAAAAAAAAACAGGTCAGCAGACTGGGCTTAGCCTATGGGTCAGTTTACCAATCTCATCTCTAATTTAGACTCATGAACGTAATTCACAGAAAAACTAAGAGCAGAAATGACAAAAGTACTGACACTTTTGTAGGAATAGAAAAGTATAGGGGAGTTATAATTCACCATCGGTGACAGTGGTAAAGAATCCGCCTGCCAATGCAGGAGATACAAGAGACACAGATTTGATCCCTGAGTCTGGAAGATCCCCCAGAGTAGAAATGGCAACCCACTCCAGTATTCTTGCCTGGATAATCCTATGGACAGAGGAGCCTCATGGGCTACAGTCCGTGGGGTTGCAAAGAGTCAGACATGACTGAGTGACAGAGCACACTCATTGGTCCTTTGGAACCTTGTGATTTAATAACATTTGCATGCATTGCTTTGATTTTAAAAACTGAAAACTTAAGAATGAGTTAAGAATACTCAGGGTTTTAAATTCTTCTTTTCTGTTTTGCCAGTCTGTTGCTCAATTTTCTAAATCATATGGCTTTCTAAACATTCTTGAAGTTTCAGCCATGTGAAATTATTTTTGGAAATAAACTAGATTCTTCCAGGTCATTAAATTGTTATATGTTAATAATCAGGCCATCGTCAGTCACAGAATACCTTAGCAAGTCTTTAAAAAGGAAATGATATGAACGTCGATCTTAAGGACTTTTAATAATTATCTCAGCTAACATTCTTCTCCATTTCCAAGATCATCATCATTCCTTGAATGATTTCCCAATCTTTCAATGAGTGGATAACCTAATCTGCCCAATAATGCTTTTTCTCTTTCTGTGTAAAATGTAAACATTTGACTGCGTTGCTATGAACACTTTATTATTTATTCTAGCTTCTACTGTCTTTTAACATATATAAATGCTACCTTCTGAACATGACTCCAAGCTATTTGATAAGGATATATTTCATATGCAAAGAGAGTGCACTCTTTGGCACAAAATAAATTGGGGAATGCAGTTCAATTAAAACAAATTTTGTATTTTAGGAAATGTTACTAATTCACCTAAAAATAAGTCAAATTAAAAAAACAACAACTACATATCATAAAACAGAATTTAAACTTAAAATGAGACTCCCCTAAGAATATCTTTCCTAAGCCCAAAGATATATGCAATAATGGCTACATGGTCATGGCAGCTTTATGGCCATAAAAACATCAAATACAATACATCCATCTGCATTGATTTTTTTTTTTTTTTTTTGTCTTCAGGGAAAGCCAGAAACCCTTATAAAGCCTTAATATCGGGCTGATTCAAGGGACCATCTGCTTAAAATACTAATAAACACTAAGTGTAAAATACATATAAAAAATGTATTGAAATCTTAAGTAAAAGGCTAATATGCAGTGTACATTATTTTTGAACAAAAGAGTAAAGGAGGATTTAAAATTCATGCAATTTTAACAGCTGTGGTTCTCTACACAAATTATTATTTTCATTAAGCTCACAATGCCCAAACTTGTCTATGTATGTTAATAATTACATATATACCATTATATATGTGTACATTATTTTACCAGAGTAAATGCATAATTGCAATCTGAAAACAAATTTTGTTGGGTCTTAAAAAATGGAACTTTAAATGTGTGGAGAGGAAAATATGTGAGCCTAAGAAAGCAAAAGAAAGTAGCAGTATGGTTTATACTATTGAATTATATTCCTTTATTGCACAGTGATCACAGGTAAATGAGCTTGATCAGATACTTTCTAGATATTCAAGTTATTATTCAAATAGCTGTCTCAACTGAATGCAGATTCCTCAATGTTTCATTATGCTCAGGCTGGTAAGAATCATTTCTGTTTAAATAACATGTAAAAGCTACAGTAGAAAAATAAAGTTAAAGTACTAAAGTAAGGTTGATAAAGTTTTATGTAAAAATGTA